TTTAAAAAAAAAAAAAAAAAAAAAGCAAAACAGCCAGTATTCGGAGAATCTAAACAATGCATAAGTAGTCAGTACCCGGTTTCTCAAGCACTCCATCTTAGTCACACAATAAGCCACATTCATAGTCACTGTGGGTTCTGTACACAAAATACTTCAGAAATTAGACATATTACCCACTGCACACTCATCATCTCCTAGGCCTCCCCCTGTCACGTGCGGTCTTGGAGCCATAACATACTTCTATACAAAGTAACAAAATTTCGCTCACAATCCCTTCACTGTCTTCTCTGCAAAGTAACAGTTTGAAACACAATCGACTCGCACCTAATTTAAAACTTAGACACGCAGAGACCCTATCACTTTCATAAATAATCGGTTGCATATCACGCATTGTAACACACCCTCCTCGTCCCTTGCCCACAAGAATAGGCACCAAAAAAACACAAACTGAATGCCAGTTGTGTGCCAAGCTGCGTTCCAGGCGTTGGGACTTCCTAGTGGAGAGAGTAGGAATTAAAAAAAAAAAAAAAAAAAAAAAAAGGCAGACAGAAATCTGCCCCCGCAGAGCTCACACCAGCCTCGGGGTAATGGTTCCCCTCCTGTCTTCTCTGGGGCCTGGACTCTCTCTTTCCTCCTCGGTCTCCTCAGTCCAGGTCCCTTTTCCCTCCTTCCTCTCCCCACCCGAGCTCCCACCTTCCTTCTCGGCCCGCCGAACGGTCCCCATCATCACCCGCCCCCTCGGCACCCAGAGGACCCAAGAGCCTCACCTTCGGCCACTGGCCAAGAGTCTGCGCCTGCGTATTGCTGGGCGCTGTTTCCCAGCGGTCTCGGCAGCGCGTTCCTCTGGGCCTCAGACTAAGCGCGCCTTGTCGACATCCGGGCTTTTCCAGTCTTGAACTACATTTCCCACAGACCTTCGGGGCCGCTTTCAAACTTTAATCGCAGGCTCCTCTTTGGAGTCTAATAGTTGCCTGGCACAGAGTGGTGACCTGGTCTAGGTGAAGGAGACTCTCGGGTTGAGGAAGCCAGGAGCTCCCTGGGTGCAAAGAGATATGCGCCTGGAGTTAATGCCTGTGTACCAGGGTGTGTGTGTGTGTGCGTTTCCGAAAGGAGGGTAGTGGAATGAGGGGTTGACGGGTGCGTGATTGTGCTCTTGTCTATCTGCTCAGACGAGGGACCTTTTGGGTGACTGTTTTTAGCTATAATGTGGTGTGTGTGACACTGGGACTTAAGACCATCCATCATATGACAGAGCTGCTGTGACCTACTGTGACAGTGACTGACAACTTCTTTTCTGCAGTTCTAGGTTTAATTTTTGGACAAAGGAATTTGTTGAAGGAAGATGTCCGAGTTGATGTGTGTGCCAGTGAAGACTACAGCCATTCATAGGTCGAACAGAGTAGTTTTGCAATGTATGCATGACTTGATGCCTCTTCACCAGGTCACCCCTGCTTCTAGAGCTCATCCTGGTGTTTAACACACAGAGAAAAATCAGTGAATGCCTGCCTAGTAACCGGTTTTAGATTTTTCTTGGGATCAGTATCTCTTGAATTCCCTGCTGCTTCTTTCCCCTCCAGCTTTGTAGCGATGTGGACTCCAGCTGCAGAGATATGGTCATCAAAATAGGAGTCAGATATTTGAGTGGTAGAATACAGGTTGCAAACACAAATCTCTTTTTGGAATGAAACTTTTAAGGTTGGAAGTGTATCTTAGGCAGAGTTTTATCAAGACATGATGAAGAGAGCCTAGGAATAGGATTGCTTCCTCTGAGGATCTCCCTTGTTCTACTGAGGACAAGTTTCATGTTTTAGAACCACACCATTCCAGGAGCTCTCTCCCCAGGAAACTGGTGTAAATTTAGAGAATGTTTCCAGTTCAGGATACCAGTGGCATTGGCCTTTCCTTTGGATACTAAGAGGTGTTTGCAGTACTCCAGCATCTCTCTTTCATCTGCATGTGTGTAGAAGACAATGGGAGTTTGTGTAATGGTGAAGAATCTCTTCAAATATAGCTAGTCTGGGCGCTCCTTACCATTCCTTTGGCTTTCCCCTCTTCCCTTGAAGTTCTCTAAGAGCTCCGAAGAAAGAGAAACATTACCAAAGATATCTGGTAGAAGTGACACTATGAGACTTCAGAAACAATGCCTCAGGAGGTCTTGCAGCTTTTGCCCTTGTCTTCTTCCTGCCCTGAGTCCCACTACTGTGAGGCCAAGAACAGCTTGAAAATAAATGATCATTTGCAAAGTGAGGTCCATTTGACAGCAACAACTGCCCAATATCCCAGGGAGACCATCTAACCTCCTCCAAGCCAACGACTGCTATCACATGAGTAAGATCAGCAGAACCACTAAGGTATGCCACGCCCAAACTGCCAACCCCCAGAATAATGAGATCATTGTTTTAAACCACAATCTTCAGATGTGGTTACATAGCAATAGAAAATGGAAACAGGTGTTTAACTTTCCAGGCTTTTTTCTCTTACTTACATTGATAGAATTGTATTATTCAACCTGTTTTGCAAAGTGATTTCTCTACTGATGTTATATCTTGAAAATATTCCATATCTTTAACTATTTTCCAGAATTTCACATTTTAGTATTTTACGACATGGAGATCTGGTAATTTATTTAACCAATAGCTTTCCTGAGAAACTTCTTGCTGACTCTCAAGTCTTGCCCATCTTTACATTCCCTTCCAGGTCCTTATGGGCAATGGGCACCTGTCATTTCAGGAGGATGCAGACTCAGGAATGTGGTATAGATTTCTCCTAGGTGAAATATGAGTCACTCATTCGTAGGAATTTGTTCAAGGTATGATTACAGGACCTATATATATTTATTTTACTTTCGCTGGGTCTCCTTGATTGCAGTGTCTCTTTTCCCCCTTTCTAATTCAAATTCTGTATTACTTTCTTCACTGTGACTCGTTAAGGAAACTTAAAAGTGCATAGCTAATTTTCTGATGGATTAATTTAAGATTCCTAGAACTGGAATTTCTAAAGTGTTATTTCTAAGGTGTCATCATTGCCATCTATTAGAATATTTTCTCAACTCCTTTCTGCCTGATGATTAAGGGAATGGTATCAGTTTTCGCATAGCCATATCAGGCCTAAATTCCATTTGTTCTCCTTAGTAGTACTAACAATAAGGTTTCTCTAAGGCTTATCATTACTTCATTAATTATCTATTTTCAAGTCATCTATTTTCCTTGTTGGTGCAAGACTGGTGGAGAGGTTGGTTAATAGGATAAATGAAAGCAACTCATAAAAGGAATCCACTGTGTATAAAATGTTAGGTTTCTAGATTTAGGATCATTAAGATAGTATTTGATTTGTTACTCCAAAATGTCTCTGAAGAAAGTTTGGGCCTTAGCAGCAGAATTCAAACTGCTTCAATACTATACTCCATGTTTCATACACATATCTCCTTTTATTGCTTTTCCTGCTTTCAAGGAGCAGAAACATTTCTCATTGTAAAATGAGGAAATTTAGAGAGTGCAGAAAAGCTTAAAATAAAGTTCACCTGGAAACAGTTTCTTTGAAGATTTTTTTTTTGTGTGTGTGAAATTACTTACCTGTTTCTCTGTGATGAGCACCTGGAGGTAGGCATATAGGATTTTTTTTTTTGGTCACAACAGTGTACTTTAAGCATTTGCAACTTTCCCGTTTTCTGTTTGTTTTTGTGGTGCTGGGGATTGAATCCATGGTCTTATGCATGCCAGGCAAACACTTACCAACTAAGCTATATCCCCTGCCCAACATTCCCATTTTTAATAAGAGTTTTGTATAACAGAGAGCACAAATCTTAAAATCATAGCTTGATGATTTTTTTAAAGAATTTGACCTTTATTTTATTTATTATTTATTTTTTATGTGGTGCTGAGAATCAAACCAGTGCCTCACAGGTGCCAGGCAAGTGCTCTACCACTGAGTTACAACCCCAACCTCTGCTTGATGTTTTTATTAAAAAAAAAAAAACCTATTCAATCAATATTAGATAAAGACATAGAAATAAAGGGTCCTTCCTGACTCTTACCAATCAATACACCTCAAAGTTAACTATTTCTTTGACCTCCATCAAAATAGTTTAGTTTTGTTTGGTTTTGGACTCCATATGAACAGGGCACTTAGGTTGTTTCCACTTTGAGGCTTTTATGAGTAAAACCATAGTCATTCTAATGGGTATGAAGTGCTACCCTGTAGATTTATTTTGCCTTTCCTTTATAACTAATGAGGCCCTAAACATCAATTTGAATGGATTAAAAAAATTGCAGTTTGAGTCCAAAGGCAGTCTGTTGACACAATTTTTCTTGCCCAGGAGAGGTTAGTCTTTGTTTTATTAAGGACTTCAATTGACTGAATGAGGCCTACCTACAATATGGAAGGTAATCTGCATTATACAATGTCCATCAATTTAAATGTTAATCTCATCCAAAAAATGCCACCACAGAAACATCTAGAATGATATTTGACCAATATCTGAGCAATGTGGCTCAGCCAAGTTGATATACAACATTAACCACCACAAATCCTTTTTTATGAACTTGGCACCCATAATTATCTTCCAAAACCATACTTAATCCCTGAATACAGAAAGTAACAAAGTCATAAGCAAGGTCACATTTCTGTTTAATGTAATAAAATTATCCTGTATACAACCTAAAATGTACTAACCACTTTCCCAGAAGAGGATGTAAAGTCTGGGTGATATTTACCTTTCATTTTGATATCCAAGAACTTAAAAATGTAAAGTTAATATATAAATATTATGATTCAAAGTCAATAATACATCTTATGTTTGGTAAAGTGATGAGAAGAAAAATAAAACTTTGTTGTACACACACATATTCAAAACAAAATAAGAAATAATCATGACAATTACAGTTCCTGTTTCCATAACTGGTTACCCGGTTGCAGCAGGCCTTTATAACTACCATCATTGTCCGTTATTTCCTTTCCCCTCAGCTAGTCATGATTCTTTATGTGGCACAGTGACCTCAACCTTCATTCTTGGTATATATGGTAGCTCTGGTAGCTTTTCAATGTAAGGAACTCAAATCCATATTCATAATGTCTATTTCAGTAAGAAAATGATGCTGCTTCTCTATAATGAGAGTAGTCCATGTATTTGTCACTAGGGAATGGTGCCATCTTAGGGATTCAATTTTGATCTCTGCTGCTTCAGACTAAGCACTCAGAAGCAGTGGCTGTAGCCAGGTGGGCCTTACTGAATGGAATTCCATACTATTAGCCTAGCATAACTTTTATCACTGCCATCATGGTCAATTTGTTCATGAGCCAAGTGGATAATGGAAGTAGGTGGCTGGGGAAGAGGCTGGCTGGTATCTACACTATAGGTCATCCTCTTGATTATTAAATCCTTTTCTGCTGAGGTCACAATTTGTGTTCATTCACATAAGACACAAATATCTTTGTATTTTTCACCTACTCAGAGATCTATACCTCTCCCTCAGGCTATCTTGTCACATTTTCCAATCATGCTCTTTCCAAGTCCCTGACTACCTAGCCAAAGCACTGGGCACAGTGCCTGAATCTGGATGTAATCTTTTATCTGGCCATTTCTCCTTCAAAGAAAAACCACCATCCAGTACACTGCTTGAAGTACTGGCCATAGGAAGGATTTTCCTTTACCACTATTCTTCAGGGATATCCCAGAAAGGGATTATAATGCTGTAACTCTCTACTTTGAGAAGGTACCTGCCTATCAAGTAAAACCAGCCAAAAATGGGCCAAAGTCTTCTCTTCCCCTGTTAACTGATTATAAAAAATCATGAGGCCATGGATATAAGCTAGGAAAGAGAAAGTAATGTTGCAAGAGTGGGG